GAGATGGATCTGAACTAGAGATTCCTTAACTTGTTTGTAAATGAATCTGAAGGAATGAACGAGGTAATCTAGAGAGTTTATTTGAAATGAGATAAAAAGAGGGGCTAGATTGGAGCACTTAGAACACTAACATTTAAAGGGTAGGTAGAAGAAGAACCTGTAAGGGGGATTGGGAAGAAGCAGTCAGAGAAATAGGAAGAAAGAGGGAAGAAGTATGGTTGTTTTGCAAACCACGGATTGAGAGTGTTTTGAGAAGGAAAGCCTGGTCAAATACTGTTAGTGTTCAAATAAGACAAGGAATTGAAAGTGTCTTTTTGCATTTAGTGAAAAGGAGGTAATTGGTTGCAGGCATGGGCTGTAAGAATAGAGCATCTATGATGTTGAGTTGTGAAAAGGAGAGGGCTGTGGTTGGAGAAGAATGTAGTTGAGGATGGTTTTGCTTTTGTTTTTGTTTTGTTTCATTTTTAAAGATGTAGGACACGGAACATGTTTCAGTGTTAATAGGAAGGAGCCAAATAGAAGGGGAAAGTTGAGTATTTAATAAAGAGAGGGAATAGTTGAGAGAGCCAGGTCTCAGAGCACAGATGAGGAATTAGCCCTAAGTAGGTGGAGGGATTCCTTTTTTCTTGTGAGCAGAATGAAGTAGAATAGTTGGGTATAACTGCTGGTAACTAAAGTTTTGGTAGAAAAAAGTTAAGGGCCTTCCCTTAAAATGCCTTTTGTTTTCTCTGTTTAGCAGGAGGCTTGGTCATGTGCTTTGATTAGTGAAAGGAATAGACAGGTTGGAAGTTTGAGGAGAGCGGAAAATCTTTGAAATAGCTTCGCAGAATGAGGGAAAGAGGCTCAATTAGAGAAAAAGTGGGTGTGGTAGGCTGCACTGTGGACCCAGTTGAAGATGGGAAACCTGCATTTTATAATGAATCCTTTGATACTTCTCAGCAGAAGACAGGCAGTTGGATATTGTTGGTGGTTCTTTGTGGGAGCTGTTATCTCTTGCCTTGTAACCACTCCAGATTCTGAAGCTATTGAGACATAGAACCAAGAGTCATAGGAATCAGAAAAGTGGCTCTAGTCTTAAAAGTTTAAATGTGGCATGGACTGAGGCTGAAATGAGGTCTCCTACAAGTTCTTTCCTGAATTAAACTTACCCGTAAGCTAAAAAACATGTCTCCATGCTAAGAAAATGAAGTTTTTCTCTGGTGAGCTTCTCTTATGGGAGCTGGACCAGAGGAAGATTATATTGTTTATGGGCACAAAGTTCCCAGTGAGGAACCCAAAGAACTTGTACTGTGCATGCATGCTGACCTCTCTACATTAACCTCACCTGTAGAGAACATATGGATGTCCTGTTCTCATCATTCTTCTTCTTTTTTTCTTAGAGAGAAGTAAAGAAGGTAGAGAAAGGGACTATAGTATTTCTTTAGTCTTGTTTCCTTCTATCCAGAGAAGGCCTTTGTCCTCTTTTAAAATGTGAGAAGAGGTGATGTATGTACCCCTTAAGATTCATTGAGGGTTGAGATTTTGCCAGATAGAAGGAGTGTAATTCATAGAGTGAGAATTTTGAACTGACAGCAGGATAACCATATGAAAATATTTATTATTTGGTTGGGTATATATGACTGGCCCCAATGAGGTGGTTCATTCTGGAAAATTTGGGTAGAGCATTAAGATTGAGAGTGAGATATGATCAGAAGACCACCAGCTGAGGGAAAGATTGCTGTTAAGGAGTTGGAGGAGGTAGAAGAATTAACCGGGTTGGAAAGTAGATTAAGCAATTGGACAGTCTAAGTGCTTTTTTTTCTCATCTGCTGGGACATGTACATTTCCTGAATGAAGGTTGGCAAACACAAAGACTTAATTGATAGCACAGATGAAAATTACATAAAGGAAAATGTTTAGTTATTAGAATTAGTTCTGGTTGGGGTGTTTTCCTATCTCATCATTTATGAGTAGAATATTTTTCAGGTAGTGAATATACATCTCAGTTATTTTTTTTTAACTTGTGATTATATTTTGCCATTGGCAGTATTATTTATAGTATGGTAATAATTCTGCAAATCGGCTTCATATAGGAAGTTTCAAAATTATCATTAGCCACGATAATAATTGGATAAGAGAGTGGATTGTGGCACTATAATTTCTTTTAAGATATAGACTCTCAGGCTCATGCCTTAATAAAGGTAGAGCTGTTTTAGTGCTCAAACTCCAACGTATTTTTCTTGGAGAAATAAGAGGAAAAGGGAAGTTACGGAGGAACTATTAGTAACTCATTTGCTTTTATTGAGTCATTTATTCCAAAAGCATTGATTCAAAAATATTTTTTGAGCTCCTAATATGTGCTAGGAGCTACATAGTTCAAGGTCCTAGGGAGTAAAAAGAAAGGTTAAGAAATGGTCCTTACATTACCTTGGAAGAGCTAGGGAAATGCAGGTAAACAAATAATTTCCTTGAACAGATAAGCTTGAAATTCTGATTTTATATGATTAGACTCTTCCTTTTAGTTCAATCTTAATGGCTGTTCATTTTTAACCTTAACTAAGGGTATGTGTGTGTCTGTCTGTGTTTATATGTATTTCCTTTGTTATGTTTCCTCTTACCAATTTATATTTGCTTCGGACTGTCTGAAAAAAAAAATCACCTGTCTGTTGCTTCTAGGAAACATGGCATGAAATAGTCTCAAATGGAAAAATATTGTGATTATGCAGATGTTGGTTAGCCAGTAGTTTTCCAGATGGGATAGAGATTGAATTAAATGCTGAATGGACAGTGTTAACTAGTAAGGCACTTCAGGCTGATTGAATAATCTGGATAATCTTTGGAGATTGTATTTTCTGAAGTCAGTTACCTAAATTGTCTGTTTCTCTGGTGTTTTTTGCATTTTGTTTTGAGCAACTTTGGTGTCTAAGGTACACTTTTACATTTTGTATAAATACTTATAATATGGGAACATGTTATAAAGGAGACTAACATGATACATTTTCATTTATTCACTGATGAAATGCTTATTTAAAACATTTAAGCCTTCTTTTATAGTTTGTTCTGAAAAAAAAAAACTTACCTTGAGTTTTCTTTTTCAGAGTAGTATTTTGATGGAAATAATGGGTAGTTGATTCATTGTGCCATGATGTTTTATGCTATCATTAAAAAAATTCAGTTATGCATGACCACAGTTTAAAGTTGTAAAAGGCTTGTTATGACCCACAGCCATCTCCTAATGCCCTCTATTCTTTTCCAGCCTCTCCATTTCTTGCTTTCTAGAAGCAAGATGTTCAGCATATATAGCTGATTCTTTTAGTGTTTACCAGTGAATCACAAAATAACATGTTTATTATTGCTACTTCTCGATTTTTAAATTTCATATCCATTGTCTTTCCATTATGGAAGATGAGGCTTTAACTGTCTTTTACCAGCCCCGCTGCCTCATACCACATCCTTCATCTTCTTTCTCTTACCTTCCCAATATGGTTATAATTTTGGCGCAGTTAGTTATTCATTGTTTACATTATGACCATGTCAATACTATTCACAGCTGAAAAATATAGTATATAATGTTTACTTTTCCTGTCCAACACATTATTTTCTCACTGTTTTCTTTTGGTTAATTTTCTAATCACTAATTCAAGCCTAAATTTTCCCCCAGTTGTTTAATATTACTCTTATGACGGTAAAACAGAGACAGTCTATTAATTTCATTTCCTTGAATACATCTCCCAGGAGCTTTCCGCTCTGCTCCAATTTGAGTGGTTGCTCTCTCTTCTTGTTACATAGATGTCTTGGGAACTCACTTCATTTTTTCTGGGAGAATTCCCTTTGCCTTTCACCTTAGTTGGATTTCCTTTTTCCTAATCCTATGTCTCTCTCATGTCTTATTCCCTTGGTTTACTCCATAGAGTGTTTGGGAATTTTTTTTTTTTTTTTTTTTTGAGACTTTGCTGGTGTGAATATGGCTTATGCCTCCCTCAACTTGATTATTTGTTGGTTTGGCTGATTATAAAGTTCTGTGCTGTAGAATTTCCCTCACAATTTTAGAAGCATTTCTTCATTGTTTTTTGCCTTCCAGTGATGCTCTTGTTAAGTCTAATGCCATTGCATATATTCTTTATCCTTTGTATAAAACCTATTTTATCTCTTTAGAAGCTTGTAGGATTTTCTCTTTTTCTCTACTGTGACTTAGTGTGGGTTTTTACTTCTATTTTCTTAGATACATGAGGAACCATTAAATCTGCAAATTGTATACTTTAGTTTTAGAAAATTTCTTTTATTATTATTTTGTTGATGATTTCTTATCTTTTGTTTTCTCTGTTCTGTCTTTCTAGAGTTCCTAATAATTAAATATTACATATTCTAGACTGGATCTTCTAATTTTCTTATATTTTTACTCTGATTTTCCATTTCTTTTTCTTTTATACTCTTCTTTTTAAAGGAGATTTTCTCAGCTCTATTACCCAACCAGAAGTTTTTCATTTCTGTAATCATTTTTATTTTCAAGACCTTGGTCTTATTTTACACCCTCCCCCCCCAAAAAAAATTAAAGCTTCTTGTTCTTATTTCATGAATGCTCTGTCTTCTGTTCTCAGCTCTCTGAAGGTATTAGTTATAGTTTTTATTTTTTAGAAAAATTTCTCTCCTATGTAGTCTTTGTTTATTCCATTTTTTTGGTCTCTATTTTTCATATTAGATACTTTCTTCATATCTTTGATTGTCCTTGGCAGTCTGCTCATATGTTAAGAGTTAGATACTAATAATAAAGTAGCATACACTTACATAATGATTAAAGTGTATCAGACATTGTTCTAAGTGCTTCATCTATTTTAACTTATTTAATCCTCATAATGACTTTAGGAATTGGTTACCACATTGTTATTATTCCTATCTGACAGATGAGGAAACTGAGTCATAAAATGTTAAATAACTTGCACAATGTAACACAGTAGGTAAGTGGCAGAGCTAGGATTTGAATCCAGGCAGCCTGACTCCATAGTCCCTTCTTTTAACCATTATACTTACTTTGTTTCTTATTGAAATAAGGAGCAAATGGGAAATTCTGTGTGTGTGGGTAGGGTTTGTCAAAGTAGTGTTACCTGAGTGAACTGTTTCTTTGTGGAACTTCTGATGAGGTTTTTTTTCATGGGTTGATTAGATTCACCAGAGAAGAATCTTCTGATTTGCTGTTCAGAGGTTGAAGCCTGGCAAGTGGCAGTTTGGTTGCCGAGTGGTGAAAGAAGACTGAGGAATGCGTCTGAAAATTTAATACAACTTTGACTTAGTCACCTGTCTCTGGTCTTCCAATCCAGAGATTCTTGGTTTTACCCTGTCCAAGGAATAAACCTTCAGTTTTCTTCTGTGATGAGGCATTGTAAGTTGCCCAGTTGTGCAGATTCTGGGAGGGGATGGTGGAATATATCTGACTGTGACTCTTATTTTGAGTCTCATCTTGACCCAACTTTCTGCGTTGACCATTCTTGAGCCTTTTGTGGTTTCTGTGATGTAAACGTGATTGATTCTCATTTTCCCCACTGGTAGTGTAAGGTTCATCTTCCTTGTATTTGCTTTCAGTTTTTTTTTTTTTTGCAGTTTTTTCATTTTACCTACTCTTTGACCCTGTGTTTATGTGAAAGCAAACAGTCAAATCTTTGCTTGCTATCTTTTAGGAAAAGATTTTGGGAAAAGACTTGAATAAGATGGGTGTTCTTAATGTGCCATTTAAAATTCTCTAAGTCTCTTGAAATAAATCTCAGATGTCTCCTTTTACCTGAAGCATTTCATGGTGCTCCAACTAGACATTTCACCTTCTGAAAATCTTTTTCTCCCCCCTTGGATTTTTTTTCTTCTTTCGTTAAGACCCTTTTATATTTCATGTTATATTTGCATGCTTTTCTTGCACACTGCCCTCCCTTCCACACCAGGCCGTAACTCTTTGAGGACCTTGAGCGATCTCTTCTATAGAGTTGCATAATAAAAATGTTACATTAAGTGTTGTGTATGTTTTTCTTGTGAAATATCAGCAATATATTGAATACTGAGGATAGTTAAGGAGGGAATTAATATAATAGTGCAACAGAAGAGATTAAATTCAGATGTAAAGAAGCCTGAGAATTGTTAAACCTAGATATTATGAAATCTTTCAACATAACAAAGTATACATCTTGCCCCCTGCCATGACACAAAAGAATGAACTGCATGAACTGTCAATTTTTTGACCAGGCTCATGATTCTATAACTTAGATGACAGATATATTTGGCATTGCTATGTTATATTTGCAGTTTAATGGGATAATGTTAAATGCTAGAAATCTTCTAAAAGGTTTACAAATGCACGGTAGGCAAAACAGTGGTCTCAATGTATTGGACTAGCTAAATCCATAAAGAAGCCCACATTTGTAATATTTCCTTTTAAAAACTAAGTTTTAGTTTTTGTGTTTTGTAAAATTGATTTTTACAAATCAGTGTTGTTAATTTTGCCTCCTCCTGCTCTTTAAAATGTTCAGAAGGAAACAGAAACTGTTTCAGAATTTGAAACTAAATTATTCAGAGAAAGGTTATTGCTTTAAAATAATAATGTTTATTTCTCTAGTACTGTATTTTAAGAAACTCAGGACACATTTGTCTTTTAAAATATATTAATATTTCTTTGAAAATAAAGTACAGGAAGACTAATCTGCATTTAATGTGTAATAGTTGCTGGGGTATGGAAAGCCTCCGTGGTCACTACTATGTTCTTTTGTAGAGCTAAATCAGTACTTAGGAAACTGATGGTATTTGGTTCATTACCACAGGCAAACAAGCTGAAATGATTGTTAGGCATGGGTATTTGTTTTTGTTTTCAAATTTTCTGGCACCTTACAAATAACTTATTGGGATATGACTTACGAAAACACATAGAAGCATTACTCTAAAAATTCCAATATTTTGAAACCATGTTATTTGGGTACAGTGTTTGTAGATGCTAAAAATATCTTTTAATTGTCTCCTGAGATTCGTGGGACACATGTGGAAAACACAAACTTGGTGTTTATAGTTTGACTCGGTTAATTCTCAGTATCCATATCACTCTTCTTTCATAATGCCTTCATGAAAAATGTAATCACATACAGATTTCTATTCGCTTGCAACACAGAATTAATGTGAATTCCATTTCATACTAACCACCATCAAAAGTTTCTGAAAGTCTGGTTTATATTTTTTAAGTGTATGTGGATGAGTTGCTTAGCTTTGATTTTTGGAGAAGTACATCTTTTAAAAATTTTTCAACAGATTGTTAAATTGTGGGTAATGGTGACAATACTGGTGTCATATTCTGATTAATTTAATGTAGTCCCTTTTTATAATGCGTTTCTGTCTACATATTCCTTATAGTGTCATTACCTACTGAGTTTCTGTGAAAATAAATTTTCTTTGCCTATTAAAACAAAGCAATCCTTGAGATTGTTTTTTACTGTTTATTTTTCTTTGACTATCTTTGAGTTTTATTTTTGAAGGCATTAGTATTAATTTTAGTGACAAGGCAAAGCATGGCTGTAGATAACTACTGCTTTATAACTCAAAGCAAAATGCCTTAGAAAATACCTTTAGAATTAAAGCTTAGCATATGATTTAATTTGCTTAGCTTTTTTTTTTTTTTTTAGAAGTTGGAGAAGATTGTTTTTCTGTAATCAAGTCCATTTAGTATTACTGGGTCAAGAAAACTATAATTAATATTTGAATATATTCACTTTTGAAAGAAAAGGAAACCAGTTACTGAACAGAGTATCACTTCACAATTTATTGTGAATTTATTTTTTGTTTTACTATATATCACCTATTACTCATTTTACCTTTCCAGGTTTTTTAGTTCTTTCACTGTTTGTTAGATAAAAGCGTCTCCTTCTTATTCTTTCTTTCTTTCTTTTTTCTTTTTTTTTTCCAAAGCCCATGCACTCATGGTTTTATCCTTTTATTTTTATGATGTGCATTAGGACAAAATAAAGCATGTATTATCCCACTGCTTGTCTCTCTTACATACTTTAAGGGTAAAGAAGAGAGGTATTCTGGATATTCACTTGTGTTTTTCTCTTTCCTAGTCTCCATGAATACATGACTTGATTTATCTTGATCAGCCTAGTAACTTGCTCCACATTTTTCCAAAAGTGCAAAGCAGTTTCAGCTAAAAATACACATATCAAAATGCTCCAGAAGTTGTGGCCACAGCTCAAAAATGCTGATCAATTTTGAAAATCTAAATCAACCTCGGCCATGAAACCGAGGGAAGAACCTTTGTGGTGTGGGACAGATTTCCAAAAATTCACCACAGTCCTGTTCTTAACTGGAGTTTGTGCTGATGTTGCCAGACAACTGAGGAATAGATGCAAAAAGCAGGAAGCATTATTGAATTGAGCCCTAGTGCCAATTTGGGAAAAGCAAATTAAAATGTAAAAGAATATTTTTCCACTCCTGGCGTCTTAACATAAAATGGCAAAATACATGGTTGCTGAAAAAGTCACAGAAATTGTTAATTTTGCCAGAATGGCTAATTTTGCCAAAAAACCTCAGTCTTTTTGTGTTAAAAATACATATGCATATAGTTAAAATATATATTTTAACCCAAATGAAATAGTTTTAATTTATAAATAAAAAAACAAATCGAAATGTGTATATACCTTTAAGTGAGAGAAGTGTTTTGACATAAATGACTCTGTGTGTGGGCTTGTTTCAGTGTCTTCTGTTTTTCAGGTGCAATTAAAGAATGGATGATGATGATTTTGGTGGTTTTGAGGTATGTGCTGTTATTTACCTTATTTTGCTTACGTAATTGTTTTAACTTTGTGGGATTATAATAGAGTATACTAAATGTATTATGTATCATTGGTGTTCATGATCCTTTCTTGATCATTTTGAATATAACTCTGGAATAAAAAAATGAAATCAAGAAAAATTAAAATATATTCCCTCTGAAAGTTAAAACTGATTTATTGTTACTGAACACTTGGTCATGACCATAGGAATGGTTTAAATTGAGGTAGTTAAGTACTCCTAGTGGAAGCAGCAAAGAAGAGGTTTGAGAAATTGTCTGCAGATGATTTTGCTGGGATACATGTCTTTTAGGAAATACTTGTGAGAGGAGGGATGAATATTGAAGATCTGTCACACATTTTCATGCTTACACCTGTAATGAGTTGATTTAGTATATTAAGTACACGGCCTTTTGGTGGCTTATAGAGCTAATTGTTTGCACTGTTGGATTATTCTCTTAGGTTTTAGTTGGATGCTTTGTAAGGAAATTGTTAGCTGAAGAAGCACTGTCTTTTCCTTAATCCTTTTCAGTGTGTGTTCGTTTTATTGAAATATTTTGTAACCCAGTTATTTTTATGGAGCCAGTATAGTCTTGCAGGAAAATCTCTGGATTAGGAGTCAGGATGCCTGAGCTCAAGTCCTGGAACTACCATCAAGTGAGCTCTGTGATTTTTGCTTTTTTCTTTTTCTTTAAGAAAGACCTTTACCTAGTTTGGAACTTGGTGAAAAGGAGATTGTTAGAGATAGGGACTGTAATTAATGACGTTAATAGGAGAAATGAGATATTAAGTATATATCCAGTGCTCTGAATGTCATGAAAGAATAGTGTGAGTTTAGGTTAGGATCATTTTCTCTTCTGTTGATCTTTAATAGCTGTTAGTATGGAGATATTTAGAATATGAACTTACCTGTTTTCTTCATTTCATCTAACACTGTTTTTTGTTTAGCACATTTGTATATTTCCTGTATTTGCTTTAGTATTTTGGGATTTGTTGGGTGACTGAATCTTATTTATGTTACTGAATCTTATTATGCTACTTGATTTATTATATCAGAGAAAAAAGAGTAAATAGTGTTCCTTAGAGTAACAGTTATACTTCAACGTGTATTCAACGGATCTGTTCCTTTTAGTATTATATAGGTACAAAGTTAACCAGCCATTCCAATTTAATTACGGTTGTTAGGGTTCTTTCTTTCTGTATACTGTTATAGAAATATGGAAGGTCTCTATCCTTGGGTATATAAACGATGTTTATTTGTCATAGTTTGTGGAGAGTAGCTACTGTATTCTACGTCACTTAGCTCCTGTGGCAGATTGCCTCAATTGACTTCTCCTTGGCTGTCAACTCAATGCAGAATCCAAGTTGAAATTCTGGCTCTTTTTTTCAATGATAATTTTGCTGTGACCTGAACACTTAAGAGAGAGAAAACTCTGCACTGTTACCCACAAACTCAACATTCAGTAATTGACTGCCTCATAGTTTTAAAACTGTTTAATAGGAGGCTTTAATTTAAATGTCAGCTTTAGGAATTCTCTAAATGTTGAATGCTAGTAAGTTCAGCTGGTAGATTATTCAAGGATATGGATGAATCCTGTTTCTTTAGGTTGATCTCTTTTTGGTCTTGTGATAATTAATGAAAAAGATTTAGTCTCTAGACTTTTGAAGAAAAATGGTGTACTTATTTACATAGGTAAACGCTGTGGTAGTTAGTTTAGAATACTTAGATATAAAGTTCACAAATGAAAATGTGATTAAGGATATATGAAATTAAATTTCATTGGCAGGAGGTATATTTGAGAAAGGAAGGAAGAGTTTTACTCAAAGATATAGAGCACAAACACTGGGGGTAGTCTCTAGTAGTGGGGGGTGGTAGCAATGAAGACTGAAAAGCAATTGAGTATTCAGAGGAAATTTGAAAATGTGTGGGGTATTACAGAGAATTACATTTGCAGAATTGGGAGGCTTGATTGCTTAAATAGCATTTATACTTTTCAGATTTTCTAAAATAATTTTGCATTTGTTTTATAGGCTGCAGAGATTTTTGATGGTGGAAATGGTGAAACCCAAACTACATCTCCTGCCATTCCTTGGGCTGCTTTTCCTACAGGTACTACTATATAGTAACTAGGAATATTTTTTTCTTATTCAGCATTTTTGCCTTTCTTTTGAAAGCCCCTTTCCTACCTTTTCACTTTGCCTTCTTTGATCTGAAAAATGGAATGCCCCAAATTTAACATAGTTTTTTCCATAACAAATTATGGATTGAGTAACAAATTCTGCAGTGGTGGCTTGAGGCATGATTCCAAAAAAGATATCATGAACATTAAATAAAATTAAAGTACAATTGACATTTCCAAATTTGTCTTTGTTTTAGTAAGGTGAGGTGCCAACTAATTTTTTTAGAGTGTCCATTTCATTAATTAAAGACTCCTTCTTCTTAATATTCTAAACATCTTATAAAAATGATTTGTCATCCCCAACAGTATTTAAATTTAGACGTTTTTCTACAGGAAAATCATTCAAAAGTATTAAGAATTAAGCCATCCAGGAAATTAAATACCAAAATAAATTCCATTATTGTGAGGTATTTTATGGAAGACCTAATGTTCAGTATTAATATAATTCTGTCTAAATAATACTTTGCATTTTCTTTTTGTTCTGCTCAATCATTGTGAAGTCAGGAGTTGAAGATGAGAATACCATTCTTCAACAGCCCTGCCTCATCTTAGATTATTAGAGTTATTCATTCTACAAATATTTTTCCAACACTTATTATGCATGAGACACTGTGGGGACATGTCCTTTACTTCAAGGGCAGGCACATACATATTTGTAATATGAAGCAGATTTGTGATTTGGGAAGAATGATGATTTCGTCATCCATTCGTTTAGCAAATGTTACTTCATGCCTGGTGTGAGTCAAGTACTGTCCTTGAAGCTGCGTATATATCATTGATCTGGGCTTTGAAGGATGCATATAATTTCAATAGGCAGAGATTGGAATGGGGAAAGATTCTGAAGGGAGAAAAATGCTTGGAATAAAGGTGTAGATGTGGGAAAGAGGATGGCACCATTAGGATGCTCATTCTTGTTTGAAGGCTTTGTATGTGTTGTTTCCTTTGCCAAGAATTGCTCACCTTGCTTCCCACTGCCACTCTCTTCCACTCCCTTATCATATAAACTCGTGTTTGTTTTATGTGTCGTTTCTTACTTTAATGTTTCTTTTTCTGGGAAGCCTTCCCAGAGAACCTTCTCATATCTATGTGCACCTATTTTCTGGCTTTCATGTTACACTGTAAGTTTTGTAAGGTACCATGTCTGTTTTTCCTATTGTTATGACTTAAATGCTGAACATAGTGCCTGGCTTATAGTTGGCCCTCAGTAAATTTTGTAGAAAGAATAAAAACGAATGAATAAATGAGTGAGTGAATAAGTATCTGAATAAATGACTAGACTAGGGTGACAATGGGAGTGGATAGGAAGACTTGAGATACTGATATTTATATGATGGTTTAGGATTTTCAGTGTGCTATTATGTTTTGTTTATTGTAGGTAGGGCAACGACATTATTCCTGTCATACAGATGATGAAATGACAGTTTATAAAAAGTTTTGGAGTTTGATACAGATCACTATGTTTAGGAGTGAAATTTATACTTTCATGTTCTATCATGAAATAAAAATGAAATACTTTCATGTTTATTTTCAGTAACTCTGTTTTTTGAAAAAAGCATCAACAGGACTATCTGACTGACTGGCTGTGAGGGTGAAGGAGGAATCAAAATTGATTTTTAAGGTTACGAGCCTCGGTTCTGGAAGGATGGTATTACCATGAACAGAAACAGAGAATTTAAAGGAGTTGATTTGGTGCAGTATGAGGCCTTAATGAATTTGTCCTAGACATGACTATTTAAAGTACCTAGAGTTCAGAGAAAGGTGGGCTGGAGTTCTCCATTTGGGAGTTTTTCCATTGATATGACAGTTGAAGTTGTAGGAGATCACTGGGGGAAACAACATGTAGAGAGAATAGCCTTAAGTAGAGGAATTTGGATGTCCATAGTTAGAGAACAGGAGGAAGAAAAAGAGACCAGAGACTTGAGAGATAAGGAGAGTAGGGGCTAGTGCAACACAGACATAAGGAGTAGAACATTTCAAAGAAGGCATGGTCGCTGATGTCAAAGGCTGTAGGGAGGTCAGTGAGATTTGAGACTGAGAAAAACCCACAGACAGTCCTAAATGTCATTGAAGGAAATGGTTTCAGCAGAGTAGAAGTTGAAGCCAGATTGGACTTCTTTACTTTGCATGAAAGCAGGAGGAGTGTTTGTTTTCCTATAGTTATTGTGGCAATGTATTAAAGTATTGTATATTGTGAGCAACTTATTATTATATGTCACATCTCTATATATCTGTATATTTGTACGTCAAGTCCTCAAAGCCTAAGGAACTAGAATTAAAGAATAACCCCTCTAGTGTACACACACACACACACACACACACACATTGTCTCTCCCTCACTGAAAAAATCAGACCTGAAGAAAGTACTCTTTTTGGATTTCCTCAGTGACTTGCAGAAGTGAAGGAAAACAAATCTGGCCAAGAGCTGAAGTTAGTGGCATGTTAGGTGATTGCTCAACAAAAGCAATCTTTCTCCTTTGTTGAATATAGTTTGTCTTCCTCTGGCTGCTGGATTCTGCCTCTGATTCAGGTATTTTGAAATTGTTTAGATAAGAGTGATGTGCACAAGCTGATTAGCGTAACAATTTAATCATTTCCGCACTAAATCCAGAAAAGATAGGAACTCTTTAAGAGATCTAAAGCAGATTCTTTCCAGTTTAAGAAGACTAGTATTCTCCTTTTGTCTGTTTTGCTACCTATACTCTAGCTGTCTGTAATCTATATGAAAAATATTTTTAAGAGATGACTATTAGCCAAATTTTACCACAGCATAAAATCCAAGAAGATTATTCAGAAACATTTGGTTTAAATTTTTAAAGTGCTTTGGGGAGAATAGAAATGTTCATTCTTGGGGTTAAGATAAATGATCGTGTTAAGTACGGAGTGTAGTGGCTTAGTGTGCCTAGTGACTATCCTGCTTTAGGGCTGGTGGTTAGTTGGAGGATGATTTCATAATAGCAACTGGGATAATTTGTCTCTCAGAATGTCTGTTTTTAGCCTTCAATACTGTTAATGAATTGAGGTACCTTGGGACGTGCATTTTTCTGTAATATTAGCATCATTTATGTAGTGGGAACTTTTAAAATACCAGATTATATGCAATGCTGATAATGAAATTAAAAAATTGCCAGTCAGAATAAGTGAAATACTCAGGTTGGTTCTTTACACAAATTATTATCTCTAGGCCCCTCCCTCATCAGAGGTGTGGCATCTAACTTATGATATGTGTCTCTACACTTCCTTTATCAAAGGAGTTGGAGAATGTAAGTGATGAATGAATACGAAATTATGAATCTCCTTTTTTCCTCTTGCCTTTACTCTCAATAAAAGTGTGATGATTATTATTTCATTTCAGTGAAAGCTACTCAATGAGAAGAATTGCCTCAGTCATTTTCCTCCCTATTTCATAGCCTTACCCTCTAGCTTGTCTCCATGGCTATCGTTTGAACCCTGTGAGCCAAACTGTGATCTACATTGTTTCTAGATGATGTCTGTTCCTATCTGTTTGCCATTGCTTCTGGTTGTCACACCTTCCCTCAACTCCTGTCTGCTTAATTGAGTCTTATTTTTTCCTTTAAGAAAAAACATAGTGTTTTCACTGTTTGTTCCATATCTCATAATTGCTCCTCCTTCTGAGCTACTGTATCATTTTTTTCTGCACCATTTGCTTGGCACTTAGCTTATGCCAATTTGTATTTGTTAAATTGTGGTAAAATACGTATAACATAAAATTTACCATATTAATTAGTTTTTTATTAATTTTTTGATTGGAGTATAGTTTATTTACAATGTTATATTAGTTTCTGCTGTACAGCAAAGTGAGTCAGTTACACATATCCACATATCCACTCCTTTTTAGATTCTTTTCCCATATAGGTCATTACACAGTATTGAATAGAGTTCTCTGTGCTATACTGTAGGTGCTTATTAGTTATCTATTTTATATATGATAGAGTATTTTATATATAGTATATAAATATATGTATTATATGTATAGTATTTTATATATAGTCAATCCCAATCTCCCATATATCCCACCCCCCCACCATATTAATCAGTTTTAAGTGTACAATTCAGTATTTTTAATTATATTCACATTGTTGTGCAACTAATCTCTAGAACTTTTTCATTTGTAAAACTGAAACTCTGTAGCCATTAAACAATAACTATCCAATTCCCCCTCCCCTCAGTCCCTGGCAACTATCATTCTACTTTCTACCTCTGTGAATTTGACTACTCTGGATAGCTCATATAAATAGAATCATCCAGTATTTTTCTTTTTGTGATTGGTTTATTTTACTTAGCATGATATTCTCAAGGTTCATCCATGTTGTAGCATGTGTCAGAATTTCCTGCCTTTCCTAGCCTGAATAATATTGTATGTACAGACCACATTTTCTTTATCTGTTCATTCGTCCGTGGACACTTGGGTTGCTTCCTTTGGCCATTGTAAACAATGCTGCTATGAACATTGGTGTACTAATTTGTATTTTTAAAGATATGATTTTATCAGTATGACTTCCATCTCTGAATGTCTACTTTAGTCTAAGCCTTGGAGGGCAGAGACCATGTTTTAAACATTTTTTAATCAAAAGTACCTAAGTATAGCATTGTGCCTTGCTAATCAGTAATTGTTTCTTGATAATTAATAGAGCAGATTTACTTTCAAGTAACTCTTTTTGCTTATTTTAATTCTTTGAGGGTATTTAAATAGTTTTTTAATCACAAGTTAGAGGAAGGCAAACTTAAGCTTTCTTTAAAAATTATAGTAATCTTGGAAATCTTAGATAATTATTCAAAGACGGCTAAGAAGCTACTTCCTCTTGGGCTCAGTTAACTTTCCTGGTCATTCCCAATTCAGACAAATAACCTGGGGATAATGGTTAGTAAGAGTAGTCACAGATTCTCAGAAAGAGAGAACAGCTATTTTGCT